TCTTTCAGCAATAGCATTTCTTCTATCAGAAATCGTTACACTTAATTACTCGTACGATGTTTATCGCCTGAGCCAAATATGCTGCTGAATCTTTACAGTTCATGAAGTACTTCTTATCCTGAGATTTTTGACATTGATATATGGTGAAATATTTAGAATTCTTTGATCGCTTAGTTTTGTTAATGATTCTGAAGATTTTGAACAGGTTAAAGATGATTGAAGTCTTTGAATTTCTCAGTTTTCGATTGATTCTTCGCAGTCATGAGTGCCCAGAAATTATCCGAGTCGTGGAATTTTCCTAGTTTTGTGGTGATTATTTGCAATTCTAAATGACTGGAATCGTTGACAGATTTGAATTTCTTAGCTTGCTGGTTATATTTGACGTCTTGAATGGATAGAGTGCAATAATATGTTAGATTTCTTAATCATACAAATAACCTTCTGACAATCTGCGAAATCAGAAAATCTTTCGGATTTTTTGATTTCTCAGGTACCCATATATTCTTGATAATGTTTAAGTACTATGAATCATTTGCATTATTGAAACTTCTTGTTCTTATGCCGAGGAATTGTTGGATTTCTTGATTTCTTGCTTATTGTTGATATTCGCAAATCATTTGGTATTCTTGTTGTCCGTAGTTTCTCGCTTTTCCTAGGATAATCTTAACATGCTGCGAATCGATACTTGATTCGGATTTCTTAGCTTTCTTACTGTCTACTCATACTGCGAAGTGAGTAAGATAACTTGAACTTATGGAATTTCAGAGTTTCTTGACAATCCTTGACAGCTATGAATCGCTGCAAATCTTTCAAAATTCAATGGTTTCTCACTTTTGCATTGCAAAAACTTTGATTTCTCAAAACTCTTGCTTGTTAGAAGAGCCTTGGTACTAGTTAATGAACTGCAATGCTCCGACTATAGAATTCCTTCCTTTCCTAGAAAGGATGAAAATAAGATGACATCATAAAATTCTCAAACTTAGCACTATCGGACTATTTCATTTCAGACGAGAACTTGTGCGGGTGGGTTTTGGATCTGCGGGTGTAGCTGTGGATGCGGATATCCGCAATGTTCTTCGCTACTATCACACCTATACATAAGCACATACACCTGACAAACTGCTATGCATTTGAATCCATATCGAATTTTTGTACTCGATGATTTCTCCAATCGACGACATAGAGATTACCGTGTCGATCGAATGACAAACCGACGGGCCAATTGAGTTGATTCGATTGTTCTCCACTACCGTTTCCACCAACAATGACACTTCCTTGTGTGGCTCCTTTAGGCCAACGCATGATTCTATCATTCCTCCAATCAGCCACATAGACAGTGCCCAATTGATCGACAACGACTCCTCGAGGAGATGACAATTGTGTAAGATCATTTCCTTGTCCTTGACCACCAGCCACG